AGACACTCGATGTTCTCAGCTCACTTTGTAAGGGGGCCGTGGCCTCTAAAGCTTCAATGGAGGGTTGTCACTTTGATGATATATTGAGAGCTGCAGACTGGTCACACGAGTCCACGTTTTTCGGGATTTCTTTTTCCGCCCGATTGACTATTTCTCTTCTCGGATTGTGGCAGTTTGTGAATTAGCATAATAGAAGCCTCTGTGTCAGTAATAAAATTCCTAGATTTTACTATTAAGGTGATGTAAAGTCATGATTTTATTAATGACGCGGAGGCAACTATTATTCCCACCCACCCTCCCAGTGTTTTTTTGTCTTGACTGGTTCATATGGTGTAGATAATTCACAGTAAGTGCTGGTCAGTGTATTCTGTGATGTTTAATACGATTACTTTTAATGTAATAGATCTATTATCATGCTTTTACAGATATATACCTAATTGCTTTCGAGTTGACTTGATATTGTGAAGAGTCCTAAATTTGGATTATACCATATATTTTTTACTCTACACAGCTTTATTGTCGAGAGAGGAATTTAACCACGTGGACGATATTCATGATGTTTCAAGTTTTGGACTGGATTCTGGTCATCAGACTTACGGGCAAAGAAGAGGAAATGTACTGCTACTTCAGACTGGTTGTAGACTGTCCAGGGTTTCCCTGGACTGCCTAAGGAAGGGAAAGACATGACTGCTGCCCAGGAGTGGGGGATGGATTAGTATGGATACATATGTATCAATAAAGGGAGTTGGATATAAGGGAGACTGGGGGTGGGCACTTGCCACTCAGAAGGAAGGAGTATAACTAACAGGAGCTTTTCCACCCCCCCCCCCTGTAATGTTGCCGTGTTCATTGTGAGGTTGGTGGTGTTGCTGGTGGTTTTCTCTGTGTCTGGTTGTCTCTGTTTCTGTTTTGTCACAGCAGAATACCTGGCCAGCTCATGTGAACGCAAGTGCCAAGTCGGATTGGGGAGTCGCAGCCTGCTTGGGCTGAAGGTGGAAGGCAGGCTGCTTTGGACTCTGAGAGCAGTATGTGATATCTGTCTGGTGGAAGAATCACCCCATCAGCTGACAGTTGGTAGTAATGCTGGTTTTCAAATGTTAAATAAAGCTGTGGCCAGGGCCGCCATCAGAAATTGTGGGGCCCCCAACACAGCTCAAGGTCTGGGCCCCAGGGTGCCCGCCTCCAAGCCCCGCCTCCAAATCCCACCCACAGGAATACACACACAGAGATACAAAAGGACACAGACACAGACACAGAAAGATACACACATACTAACAGACACAAATACTGAAACAGACACGCACACATATAGACACATACACAGATACAGATA